GGGGGGGGGGGGAATTTAGCAACTTCCTTGGATCTGGCTGGAGCCATCTACCATATTAACCGGACGGATATCTCTCTAACTCACCTTGACGTGTCTCCCCACGAGATTCATAAGGCGGCGAATAATCCATCCAAGAACCATGTGGATATCCCCGATGTCGCCCCTGTCTTGGATCCCTCGTGGAGTACGGAATACGTGGTTAGGATATAAAATTGCGACATACCGGATAAACCACACAACACTAGCAAAGAACCCGATGTTACACCTAAAGTGATGATAGGATAGATAGGATCGCGAGAAAGATGTTGAACACTCTTTGTCTTTCAGAAAGTAACGGAAAGGAATTAAAAGCATAACTGTCTCAAACCACATTAAGCAAGCAAGAAAGCAAGAAAAGAAAGTAAATCAAACAAGCCGCCAAATAGCATAGAAAAGCAAGCAAGCGAAAATAAGAACAGTGCCCTAGCAGATAATTAAAGTAATGCATTAAAAGAAAAGCAAAGAGAAGCCATCAGGAGCAAACGATTCCCATAAGAGGGAAAAGAAAAAAGGAAAAAAGGGAAAACCGACGTTGCTGAATTACTTTTCCTCCCATAATCAATTCATTTTGACACTCTGTATTCCGCTGAAAGTGTTATTTTTTTCTTTTCTCCCTTTCCATCGTTCGAGCAGGTTCGTAAAATTTTGAATAATAGCAAAGCAAAGAAACGGAAGAGACATGTAGGTAGATAGACAGGTAAGTAAAGTCGATAAGTAATAAGAGGACAGAAAGGTGAAAAAGGAACATTCAATCAAGCAGGCGATAAAATAAGTAAAAACAAAACATGTAGAAAAACAATATCATGTACCCCCTTGATCCCGCTTCGGCCCTTCTGTCCCCCCTTTTTTTTGGTTGGAATGCGCCAAAGAAATCCCTGATTCTACCGATGGAGCTCGGTCGTTGACATTGCTTTGCTGTCAAAGATGGAAAAGTAGTGATTACTTCAGTATGTAGGCTAGTATAAGAAAATGAAAGAGAGAGGAGTAAGTAAAACACAAGTCAATTGAGGGAAAGGAAGGGAAGGATAGCTTGTGTACACGGAGAGAAATTAAATAGCTTATGGGGAAAAAAACAGAAACACGCACACAATCTCCCCTTAATGCAACATGAACAAAGGGAACATAATGTGGAAAAGGAAAAGAAAATTTTGTTTGACGCCGACAGGTAGAGAGCGGAGGGAGCGAGAGAGGCTTTGGTGTGAGTGCAGCCAGAGAAGCATTATCGTAGTATTAGACGCTGACGGCCGGTCGGTTATCTGTCCAAAAAAAGTGAAGACGTTTCCATTGTACATTGAAGGCAGCAGCATGGAAAAGAACACTGCCGGCAGGCTGTCGGGATCGAGAACATAAGCCCAAGAAACGAGACGCTATTTACCGTAAGTATTTTTTTCATCATTCCGAAGTGGCTTCGAGGCAGAACGACGATGGGGAGGATTTCGGTGGAAAAGGATACTAGGAAATGCCGAAAAAAATGTAGGCGAAAAGCTAATGCGAATTATGTGTTGAAGGGGTATCGTTAATGGGGACGTCTATAATTCGTGTCGTGAAGAGGTAGATATCCGCTCGACGTAGGAAAAGAAAGAGACGAGGGAGAGAATGGGGAGCGGTGTGGCTGCGCGTAAGAAATTATCGAACTGCATGTCCACGATGAACGGGATCAAGGCTGCTCTGGCTGCTGTATGCGGAATTCTCTGAGTCGATATGTGCACTTGCACCACTATCACCACTCTCCGCGCTGGCACTCGCACTGCCCGTCAGACTTCGAACGTTTGAAGGACCTTTGGGGGGGTACGGATGGTTGCTCACCCCGACATGTTGCTCGACCTGATGCGGCATTATAGCATTACCTTGACCAGGCGGGTGCCTTGGTACTGGAGCTTTCATCATTCCTGGGGGAGACGGCCTCCCACTATGTCCCATTCCATTCGGTAGGGGCATCTGGCCACCCTCAGGACCTGTACCTGGTCTACCCATCCGGCCGTTTGGGAGAGAAGGATTGCCGGGGGACTGGCTGGTCCTCCTACTCGGTGGGAATGTTCCATGTCCCATCTCGCCCATTCTCGAGGCAGTCAAGGAGTTCGCTCTTGATTCGTTGTGCATTTCTCTTCTGTCAACATTACCATATCGGTTAGATGAGTAGCTCATCATAGGGTTGTCCAGCAGCGAATCATGCACTCCTGGTATCTCCTCCATTATCCTTGCGCTGGCACGATGTCTACCAGCACCAAAATGTCTGCTGAAAACAGATGGGGGGCGAGAACTGTTCATTTCAGGATTTTTGCGGAATTCCTTTGCGGGCGTAGTCGGAGTTTTCCTATTTCTCCGAGAAGTTACGCTCATCATGTCAAAGTTATCTGGATCAATTTGAGGGATGGCCGGGCTGCGGTGGTCTAGGTCGTAGCCATCTTCGTCGTCATCGTCAAAACCGCCTCTAACCGATGGAGCTCTCGCAACGCCGGCTCCACGGCGCCTCATTTGTATCTCCTGCTCCCGTAGGGCAATCTCTCGCTGGCGAAGCATGAGTTCACGCTCCTTTAGCGCCAATTCACTAGGAGATGGCCCCCCGTTCGTATGGCCGTTGTATCCGCCGTGCTGGGACTGGGCGTCGTCTTGACCGTCTTCATAAAGTACAAGATGGCTGAATTCGTCGAGAGATGGGTCCTCATACGACAGATCACGCGGCATACCTTGCTTGGGAGCACGAGGGCCATGGCCATTTGCCTGGGGAGGTAGAGGTCGTGGGTTGTTAGCCATAGAGGAAGGACCTCGACGTGGAGGTGGTGGTTGGCCACGGAAGTTTCCACCGCCTCGAGGGGCACCATTCATCGGCGGTCTTGAAGGAGCAGAGGATACTCGAGGAGGCAGTGTAACGACGGGTGAGGATGGTTCCGTTGGGGGCTGACGGTTTTGATTTGTAATATTAATATGATGTAGCATGGCGTACAATGTTTCTATTCGAGGAATCTTTACGCCGTTCTCAGTTGCCATCTTGACGGGAGCTCCAAGGTAGGTTTCGATTTCCATGGGCCGCCTGGCCTGGAAGTCCTGGTACATGATGCTCGGATTCTCAGTCGGGGCTGTCATTGCCTGGATTGTCTTTTCTTTGAAGTCATCGGCAAACGTGCATCCCTGGGACTTTGCAAGTGCAATCAACTCATCAAGAACGTCTGAGACCATTTGACGCACCCCAACCTTTTCTAGGAGCTGACTGTGGTTTGGGGTTTCGAAAAGGACACTGATAGGGTAGAAAGCAATGGGGCTAGACAGGATTAGCATGGCAAAAAAAAAAAAAAAAAAAGGCGAGAGGGCAAAAAGACATCGCACATACCCTATCATACGATCGTACTGTTGCTGGAGTATATTTTCTGATACTTTGCAGTTCACCTGAGCGGTGCCGAGAGTTATTGCCAGAGCAGCAGCCATGTCGTTCTGGATGGCTGTTGGGATCATGGCGTTCTTCGAAGCTGGACCAACCCACAGGTCGGTTGAAGAGGTGTGTTCGAACTCGCTGGCACCGGTCTGGACAATATCTACTGCAGATACCAGAGAAAGGACAACATTCTTTGGGAACCTCTGCTCCAAATGGGCCTCGATACCTATTGTGCTCGTAGTATTGACCAGGATGCATGTATGTTGGGGGGTAACGACTGATTCGATCACGCCGGCGAGATCGTAGATATCTGGCAGAGCTTTCACGCAGAGAATCACATAATCGTATGACGACGATATGGAGGCACCTTCTTCTGGCGTACGGACAACTATATTTGTTGTTAGCAGGTTCTACCTTTCTCGGTGTAAAAAACAAAAGAACGGATAGTATTTACCGTGTCGAGGTTTAAAGCGTTCGTTGCCGAACACCTTCGACCTAATTTTGACAATAAGTGTGAGCCAACCAAGGTACCCCCCAAGGCGAGATCTAAGGGTAGAGAGAGAGTAGCCATACTTAAAGGATATGCCGTACTGCTGGACGGACTCGAAGCTGGACTTCCACACCAGCGTCACATCACAAGAATGCGTGGCCTGGAGTCTCCAGGAAAGAAAAGCAGACACCGCATTACCACCAACTATAAAATAGGATGTCAGCCGGCCCATCACAGAAACACAGTCATGAAATGTAACTAGGAAAGCAGGGCGAGTGTGATTCCAGGACTGGTTCCAAGATCGAGATATTCCCAGTTTCCTTGCTGCCTTTATTTATTTTTGCTTCTTCCTCCTCTCGATTTTGTGATATTTATCTTTCCTTTCTCTTTTTTTTTTTTTTTCTCTTTTCACGGACGGAGGGAGGGAAAGCCGCTCAGGAGGTGAAGGATCGAGTGAAGGCTTCTCAAGTGTGTCGACAGATAATATACTGAAGACTTGAGGACTGGGAGGGGGGGCAAAGGTTGGCTGGTTGGGGAGACGCGGCAGAACTGAGAAGAGGGCAAGAAAAAAAAAAAAGAAGAAGCAACAGAAGCAAGAGGAACAAGAGGGACAAAAAAGAACAAGGAGAGAGTGAGGTGTTGTACCTGATAGAATGCGAAGTCTCGGCGGCGACGGGGCCATTGGGAAGGCAGAGCGTAGGAGGTATGCAGCCGAGCAGACGTCGGGCGGGAAAGAAGCAGCCCAGTTGTTTGTACCGCCGGAACGCACAGCACGTTACACACTGCTGGCTGCTAGCGAGCGAGCTGGTGTGCTTGCTTCGCTTCCTTGCTGCTGGCTCGCCTGCTTAGTGCTCGATGATATATGTTTGACGCTGCTCTGGCCGGACGGAAGCAGCACGATGGGGTCGCGGTATGGATATGTACTCTATCGGAAGAAGAAGAAGCAAAGTGGAACGGCGTGCCCCTTTGTTCGATAGCTTGTCGACAAGGGATCGTTCTTGTTTTTATTCTTCTTCTACCGCTGATTTTATTTATTGCTTGGGGGTTCTTTTTCTCTTCTACAGCTGCTCGTGGAGTGCTGGATGTCGTTGTAGAGTATATGGGGGATATCGGGCCCTCTTATCTCATCGCTTCTCTCGACTTCCCGCGCGCGCAGGACTATCAACCCGACCGATGGCTGGACGCTGAACAGGCACTAGGGCCGTCGAGGACTTTGCGAGATGAGATTGGTCCGCTCGATCCGTCAGCCTGATGGATTTTCTTTGATCGAGGGTTCGGGTAGCCGTCGGTCGTCAGGTCAAAGGGGACGAGGGCAGAACGCGGACGCAGACAGAGAGACAGGCAGCGAGGATAAAAAAAAAAAAAGAAAAAGAAACGAAACGGAAAACGAGAGCCAAACGAAGGGAAGACCAATGCCTGAGAGAGAGAGAGAGAGCAGAGCAGAACGAACACCGACTGAGAGAGAGAGAGATAGAGAGCAGTCAGGGAGAGGGAGGGAGATGCAGGCAAGCGGTCGAGGTTTTCTGTTTTCGACGAGGAGGAGAAACCGCAGCGAGCGCTGGACGACGAAAACCTGCGGTGGTCGGAGCGGGCGCAGGTTGAAGTTTTGGCGGGAACCTCGAACAAGGTCGCGATAGTTGGTATTACGGTTACAGGACAGCCATGTTACAGGGAGCTGCCGGGGGGTGTTGACGCATAGAGCACCAAGATACAGTGGTAATGTTCCGGTAATTACGCGATCGAGCGGGCTATGGCTACCTCTGCTCAGATCGTAGTGCTAAACAGATAAGCAGGGAATCTTGCCAAGTGGTGTTTTAGTTGGCAAGACCCGTGGGAAAAAGAAAGCATCGATAGACAAGGCGCCGGTGTTGCTTTTTCCAGCTGCTTTCCCCCTTCTGGCGCAAAAGATTTTCAGGGTGAAGGGAGCTAACTAGTCTGCTTGGTGACGATTGATATCTGGATGGACAAGTGCCGGAATGGGGATGACAGCTCTGGAGAAATTGATAGGATGCAGGATGCAGAGCTACCGCCCACGTTGTTGCATTCTCTCTCACTCGGGTGTACCTCTGCCTGCTGCTGCCGGCCGCCAACTTCCCCGATCCTGTGCCGTGCGTCAGTCAGCAAGATAGTTAACTAGTTATTATTAACTAAGATATCAAGGGAAAAAAGGGGGATGGATGCAGAGAAGAGGACTACTCTCAACAAGAGCCGGAAAGGGAGAACCATGGCTATCAACTTGATGTTCTTCTTAGGCCAGCCTTATCATCCATCGTGGCCATGTCTACGTTTCAGCAGATATATTAAGTACCCAAACATACTTAAGTAGTCCCCCTTAAGTCCCCCAGTATACTCCGTATGCGAGTAGTTTATGTATCAAAACACAAGTAACTCCGTACGTAGGGAGTAGGTTCGGAGTTCGATCACACAGCCCCCGACGGAGTCGACGGATGCTTAAATGGATGCTAAACTGGTCCAATCTGTGCCCTATGCCTCATCTCGACCTCAACTTTTTTTTTTTTTGCTCCTTCTTTCAACGGTTTCCCCCCCTTTTTTTCAACGCAGGTCGTATCATAGAACTGTCAGGCAGAAGAATCAACCTCGTATCTGATGAGTAGTCGAAAGAGACATCTGGTGGGATCATCTTTATGATCACAATCAATCGTTCATACTTTTAGCTCGGTCATCCAGAGTGCATGGTATTTTGTGTTGAACAGCTTTGATCCCAAGGGGCGATTTGCATATCGAGCTTCCAGCTCGCCGCTTGTTTGGTTGCTTTGCATCTCCCGTCCGAATATTGCTTTTCCTTTCCCAGATAAGAACCTCGACGCAGTGGCATTATTGTGCAGAAGTACTCCGTACTCCATACAGAGAATACTTTCTCCCTTTCCAACCCTTTTTCTTTTCTTTTCTTTCATCTGTGTGCCTTTCCTCTCCTCTTCGTGGCAAGGTAAGTCGAGCAGGTTGCTTAAATTATTGACAGGCTCAAGCACCAGTGTTATGTACCAGGCTTCTTCTCCCTTCCCGTGTGGTGGAGCAAAAGGCCCAGCCAGAAAGGCTCATATATCAACATCAACAAAACAACATACAGAGTACGGAGTAAATCCTCCCCAATATTCTTATATTTGTTTTTCGCTCCTTTCAATCGCTTCAATCAGTAGTGACTCCGTTCTGCCACACATGTGCACTACAATAATGCACCTAGACCGAGCACTCCGTCTCGAGAGAAGGAAGCGAAGTCGAGGAGCTCCGTACGACAACACCGCGACAGGGAATTGCAATCGATTTTGACTGAAAGAATTTCTTTCCCTTTCGACCATGCTAGGGATTGTTTCGTCTTCGCCACTGGCGGACCCTAAGTTAGGCACACGGGATGGAGATGTGCTGGCGCCGAATTGACTCGTCATCGTCGCCGCTGAGTCGACCTTCTTCGCTGCGATGGCTCCGGTAATTTTTAGCACCACATCACCTCCATCGTCGTAATTTACTACTGCAAGTGCCGTAATTTTTAGTTTCTTTTTCCCTTTCCTCTCTCTCCCTTCTGCTTCTTCCCTGCCCTTGCGAACGTGAGGTAGATGGATGGCACGGAGTTTGCGTCAGTCGGTTCCTGAATATCAGTGACTCCGTATCTCTCGATCATCCCGCCCTCCGCCTGCATACTTATGCATATCCATATTAGATATCAATAATGTTCCTTTCTTCCTTTCCCTCCGCTACGCTCTGTTTCTCTTTCGCGCTGGAGTTGATGATGTAAAAATAAAAAGCTAGGCGTTATTTCAAGGTTATGACTAAGCTTTGCGGCTTTACACTTTATCCGATGACTAAGGAACTCTAAAGTCGGTGACGTTATCTCAATTCAATAATTTGCATCTCTTTTTCGCCTGAGGCGTCATAAAAAGGGTGTGCTGGTACTCCCTAATGCAAGATGAGCAGGAAGAAGCAAATATGAGCATCCATCTTCCATCCGCTTTTAGCGACGTTACTATTTATGCACCTCCCAGTGAAATCGAATACCTTGCGAGCTACGGAGCACATACTTTGCATATCCCCAGCTTGGACGGTCGATCGCAGGTACTGTAGGATAACAAAGGAGGCTAGCCCACCATGGCCAGATTCAAAGACTTGCCAGAAGAAATCATCCTTTTTATCCTTGAATATGCGTGGGACGCCTGGAGGGAAGAGGTAGAGAATCATGCTCACCTTGAGTCTTATATGGGGAGTCCACATTGTAGCTTTCAAAGGAACCTACTGCCTGTTAGCAGTACGTATCCCTTTCCCCATCCATTTTCTCCATTTAAAGCTAGATTTGCTTCCCTTGTTAAATAGTACATGTCGTTGGGATCCTTTTTGAGCTAATAAACCGCCCTCGTTATCTACTTGAAGAACAATTCGAAAGGCTTATGGTATACTGGGTGGCCAAACAGGTTAGACATCCCAGAGTTGACGATTATGAAAAGGAGGAATGGCTAGAGTCAATGCTCCCCCGACCAGCGACGCAGTTTTTCCTCGAAATGATAGGTAAGGAAACGAGTATGACTCGTTTGGAATGGGAAAGCCAAGAGAGTGTCCGTTGTCCGGAACTTGTAGGCTCCATTAACCAAATCACTGAGTATCTCCTGTGCGAAACTCAACAGCAGAGCGACCATGAGCGCTCGGCCTTGAAAAGCAAGTATCAATATACCCTGTGCGCACTGGCTGCAATGAAGCTCTACAGTGGAAACCAAGACCCATTCTTTGAAGACTTTTTTGAGGAGTATAGTGAAGCGGACAGTAAGACCCCCGAAAGAGTAACCATGGATATCTGCAGCGCTGCGGGGATAGTAGCCATATTTGAGGATGACGCTGCCTTATTGACTCGGGTATTGACTAGGGGTCCATTCTGTGTCAATACTGCTCATGAATTCTTTGGCAACCCAATTCTGGTGGCCGCGCAGAAAGGGAGCCTTGAGTGTATGAAAATTCTCCTTCAACAGCCTAGAAGAAGATTCGTCACAGATGGCGCGGGGCTAAATGCGTTACACATTGCTGCCATAGCGGGAGATGTGTCAATGATCAAACTATTGCTTGAAAATATCGATGGAACACTTTATCAAGAAAGACAGAGAGGGCTACCGTTGACTCTTGCGGCAGAAAAGGGACATAGAACTGCTGTAGATGTCCTACTCCACGGCCTAGATCCTCGGCCTATCGCTGACGATGTCGATGAGGCTATTGCAGCTGCCGCGGGCGCTGGCCGTGAAGGGATCGTAAGATATCTCTGGGACTATAGTAGTTTGCCTGCTAATGCTAGAACAGTGCGTGACATCGCACGATTGAATTTGAATGACGAGGAAACCGTTAACACTGTCGATAAAGCGGATGACGGGGATGTTGACGAGGCGGATGCTAATGAGCTGGATGCTGATGATAATGATGATCTAGATTTATGGCTTTCAAACCCAGCAAGAGACGCTCCCATAACAAGCTGTGCAGTCGATGATATGTTTGGCATGAGTTTGGAGACGGACATGCTACTGGCCGCTGCCATAAAGGACCATGAGAATATCGTCAGTCTTATTTTTGACTCTGATGTGCTACGGCCCCAGACCCGGAGGGGAGTAGCTGCTTCGTGTTTCCAAGCTGCCTTGCAACATGATTGCACAAAGGTCGCAAAGATGCTACTCAATCGCTTTGAAGGCCTAGCCAATGAGAAATATGGCGAGAGCGCTACAGAGCCCTTAGCTTTCGCGGCTGCGTGTACAGCCACAAATGTCATGAAGCTCCTTCTCGAACGAGACGACATTGATGTCAATAGTCGTGACGCAAGCCGTGCTACTGCGATATGCTATGCAATGAGACCCCCCATGGAAACGGTTGATAGAGTGACAGATGAATTCGAAGCGCTTAGGCTTCTGGTTGCCCATGACAAAGTTGACGTCAACTGTGCAGACAGCTTCGGCGACAATGCACTGATGGGAGCAGCTATAACTGGAGATCGGCGAATGGTAGATCTATTGATGAGCCGTGAGGAACTTAATGTCAATGCTAGTAATCGCTTCGGCGAAACTGCGCTCTCACGCGCTGTTGTGCTAGGAAACATTGATGTTATTGGCAGCCTACTGGCTCGAAATAACATTAAGGCCGATGAACGAAACAAGCTTGGCCAGACTCCGTTCATGATGACGGCCGTCACAGGCCGTGTTGATATTATGGAGCAGTTCACCAGCCGCCCCGATGTCGACATCGAGGCGAAGGATCCCAAGGGACGAACCGCGCTCTGGTTAGCCGCTCACCGGGGAAATGTTGACGCCGTCAGCTATCTGGTTCGCCATAGTGCCAATATCAACGTGGATCTCAACGTGCGAGACATTGAGGGTGTATCTCCATTGGAAGTTGCAGAGGGAAAACACTCTGCAAAATATGAAAGGACGGTGCGGGTTCTGACCGGGGAATGCAAGATAAACGAGACAGCCGAGCGCCCATCCTATATCGACGCCGACCCAGCATCCTTCCTATTACCATTTGATTGTTGTGTGGCTTGTGAATTGATTCACCCGAAGGCTCACGGAATCTATTTCGGCCAATTTCCTGGCTTTTCTGACCCGTCCTGTAATGGCATCGATCTCAACGAAGACGACCTGTCCTATCCGGACGACGACAACCGCTCTTTCTCAGACTTCTCTGTCTCAGATCACAGTCCCTCAGATGATGGAAAAATCCGCTACTATCACCCAAATTGTTACAATTGAAAGAAGCTGAAGGTTTTCCGTTCGGGACAAAAAGACGATGCCGTGGCACAGCTGAGTCATCTGTATTATAAAAGTGTATTTTAGTTACTTAGTTTACCAAAAGTTAATTACCAAATTGTAAATTATTATTTATTTTTATCTACCTTAATTATAGTCCATCTGATTTACAAAATTGACGACAGTAAAGATTAAGGTCAACAGATATCGAAATCAATTGCTATTCTCTCAGCTAACCCGTAAGCACTGGGACTAAGCTGTCTAGATCAGACCTATGGCATAGTCCGTACCCTGGTAGATGACTGGTCGTCTTTTGGCCTACCTATTGGATACCAAACGCTTGATACCTGGGAAGCCCATGCAACTCATGTTTCCAATGAGAGACACCAGCGTCGACTATCTTGACCCCAGCTACAAGATCTATCAGACAAGATGTTCAGCTCGAGCCTGGATTCAGCTGAGATTCCATTCCCATTGCCGGGTTGACTTCAGCCGCGGAACCAAGGCAGAGCTTGTCGTCTGCTTGGTACATACCCCTGTAGCCGGGACCATTATTGACCTTCGATTTTCGGCTCTTCTCAAGATCATCCATCCATAATCTACTTAACATGGAACTCCCGTTGAATGACTTGAAATATACCCGCTTAAGTTCTCTTACCGCGGTTGCTTGTGTGTGAGACCCTTCTCCGAGGCCGTCTGATACCGAGAATCCACCACTGTAACATCTCAGGCCTTGCTGTCAGACCAGAGTTAGATGTGTTATCGTGACACTTGTGAGACGCGGACAAGGTGAAACAAGCGTCTTGGGCACAGGCCATCCTGTCTGAATGATCAACATGGCGTTTGTGCGAGGAGTAGAACATGGCACATCAAGCAGATTCAAGATTCGATGGCTCATTCAGGTGAAAAATATGACCTTCTAGAATGAGTGGCCTTACTGCCAGCATGTTAGACAGTCACCCATGTAGCTGCTAGGGCGTGGGGATTGTCATTAATTTGGTTGCCGACTTCAGACCGACATACTTGGAGCAGCATAAATGCCTGGAACAACTCTTGTGTCAGTCCATAGATAGAAGATGATAAAAAGTCAGTGTTTTCATCCGAAGACTTCCTTTTCCCTTGTTTTGAAGCTAAAGAGCAGTACAAAAATTACATCATAAAAGTTGGAGAACACTGCAAACTTTTCCTCTGTGTTTTGACTTGGCATAGGGAGGTTCTGTTCCACCAGCGATTGCACAGCAAGAGGTTTACTCAGAGGGTAGTTCAACGAAAACAGTGCCAGGGGTCGAAAATATAGATGAATGGCCAATTTAAGAACATAAAAAAGAGAAAAAGGAAATCACTGAGTTCTCAGAAAAGTGAATACCTAACGCGCCAGATACGAGACCCCGGATCATTTTGAGAACAAATATACCTCAGGATTGGATCGTTCGATGAACGCCTTTTAAGAAGCATAAATCAACTATGCCATGTAGGTACTGGCATCGACGCCTTCCTCAGGATATTCCCTAGATATATGTGTGAGACGCGATGTAATGAATCTTGTGATGATTAAGTTAGACTTACGGAAGTGCGACCTCGAAGCGCTTCTCAATATCCTTCAGTACCTGCATATTCTCTTCGTCGCTAACGAAGGAGATGGACAGGCCCTTGGTACCAAATCGGCCAGCACGGCCAACTCGGTGAAGGTACGAGTCGGCATCAATTGGCATGTCGTAATTGATGGCCAAGTTAATTCGCTCAATGTCGATACCACGACCGAAAACGTCAGTTGCCACGCAAATACGCTTGTTGAACTCTTTGAACTCGCGGTATCGTTTAATACTGAGTTGAACGTTAGTTATATAATTCTTTCATAGGAGTGTGGGAATGGACTCTATCATACCGCTCTTCCTGGGAAACACCGGAATGAACAGCAATACTTGGGAAGTTACACTCCCTCAGGAGCTTGTCAAGCTCTGTCGCACGGACGGTACTCTTAACGAAGATGATGACTTGGTTGAACTCAAGGTTGTCAAGGAGCTCGTTGAGCTTGCGGTTCTTCTCTGCTTCACTGAGTTTGATGTAATATTGTTGAAGACCGTGCAAGGTGAGTTTGGTATCATCATCAACATACACCTCGAGAGGGTTTCGCATGAACTTCTTGCAAATAGGACGGATCTCCTGGGCAAGAGTGGCACTGAACATCATCACCTGCTTATCAGCAGGAGTAGAGCGGAAAATCTCTTGAACATCAGCGCGCATGTCTGGATTAAATGTGTTAGTTTAGTATAGCCAAGTATATGGTACTGATATAAGATAGAACTAACCCTTCTGGTCGAGCATTTTGTCACACTCGTCCAAGACAAATGATTTGATATTGCGGAGGGATAGCTTCTTATCCCGCAAAAGGGCATTCAATCGGCCTGGAGTACCAACAATGATGTTGGGATGGGTCTCCTTGGAAGAAAGGATTTCAATGTCCTTCTGGATCGGGGTGCCTCCATAAAACACTGCAGTCTTCACGTCTGGCATGTATTTGCTGAATCTAGCATATTCGTCCTTGATTTGATAAGCCAACTCTCGAGTAGGGCACATGACCAGGATAGAGCAAGTTCCAGGAACTGGCTCAAGCTGGTGGAGAGTGGTCAAGGCAAAAACAGCTGTCTTTCCGAGACCGGACTTGGCTTGACAGAGAACGTCGACATTAAGGATAGCTGTTGGGATGCAGACTTGCTGGACTGTATGGGGTACGTGGCAGACATGTTAGATTGGTTCGATCCAGTTTCAAGAAAACGCAGGATGAAAAAGATATCCGCCCATTCCAGCTGGTTCCAGAGCGACAAAAGAAGAGAATAACCCCTTTTTCCGCGCGAAAAGGAGGGAAATCCAACAGCTGATATATGTGATACTCGGAAGAGCGCAAAATACATGCAACATATAGGCTTATCTGCAGGGCGGCACGAGGAGGTATCTTCAGGGTGGAGAACAACTCGATGAATACAAGGTTCTCATGCTTGCTGGTTTCGCGACGGGTCAATGTTACGTTCCCCTTGCGCCAGTAAAGGCCTAGGAAGACCAGAAGCGGCAAAAGTGGCATTAGTTCGATCCTACTCTGGGGTCGAACGCCGCAAAATGAGGCCCAGAGGCCTGTATCTCTTGCGCGAAAAGAAATGTGTTTCCACAGATAATTTTCTTTTCTTCTTGAAAATAATGTGTCCTCATGGATTGCTTTTCCCTCGTGCCGCCTGCAAGCTCGTATCGGCCATATTCTCTTGATTCCAAAGCGGGAATGGGCGGATATTTGGCTGGGTTTCAACAGGAAGGACGTGGGAGAAATGTGTTAACTAACCCTCCGATGGATGTTCGAAGCCGCAATCGGTGATCGCGCGTAGAAGTTCTGCCTTGAGGTAGAAATCACGGAAACCGGTCGAATGGATACCGACATAACTGCCCTTCTTGTCGGCGCCCGCTCCGCCTACAGTCAGATCGCCCTTCTTAGACGCATCACCGTTGGCAGCTGGCGCAGCTGGCGCAGCGGCAGCATCAGTGGTCTGGAGTTCCTCATCGGAGTAATCGATAAGATCTTCTTCGGTGGCCATGGTGTGAGATTCTGGTGATTTCTGAGTCAAGAGGGGGGAGATTATAATGGGCAAGGCTTCTCCCAGAGATATACTAAGCAGGGAATGAGCAACTAGGTTTTAAACCGGGCTACTCGATGAGTGTGAGCTGTTCTTGTATTCGAGAGGGCCCTTTCAAGGTGGTTGTTGATGATAATGGTGATAGAACAAAAAGCTGAAGTTTCGTTGGAAGTTGAAAGCGCGAAAGTTGAAAATGGGCGTTGCCTCTTTGGGATGCCATGGAAAATTATTGTTCCGATCATGTGATCGAATTTGCTTAGTCATTAATTCACTACCTCGCCTCTTTTTCGGGGCTTAGGGGAGAAAATGAAAGGAACGTCTAGATATCAACCAGTCAATTATTGGATTCTTTGATATCCAGTGAACGTCCGCAAACAGCATGGCTAAGAAGGCCCAAAAGGCCCAGAAAGGATCAGGCAGTCGGGCGCAAACTCACCTTCATGCAAGAGTAGCTTATCTATGCAAGGCTGCTGACTATTTACAAAGTGCTACCTCACCCAAACCTAGCAAGGATGGCAACAAGAGCCAGGTAAACTATGATACCATCTCCATCTCCGAGCAAGAGATTTCAAAGGGGACCCTGAATCCTGGAGTGAGCCGTGAAAAGAACCCATTTTCTTATATCTCTCGACAATACGGAAACCAACTCCGTGCCGTATCTCAGAAATCACAAATAAGACTAAACCGCGAAACAAAGCGATCCATATGCAAGAGATGTGATTCATTGTTGAGACCGGGGGTGACGTGCTCAGATACAATAGAGAACAAAAGTCGAGGAATGAAGAAACCATGGGCTGACACTCGGGTCATTACATGTGGATTCTGCGGCACACAGAAGCGCTTCCCCCAGGGCGTCCAGAAGAGTGTCAAACTCGCTGATCGACCAAAATCTCGTTTACCTAGGGAAATCGTGCCAGCACCGCCAGATACACAGTCAGGATAAAAATGCCGCCTTAATTTTACTTTTGACTATTGTTTTACTGGCGAGTTAAGCAACATGCATGGCTACTTGTGCGATCCTCCAGACCATAATAGGCTATCTATCCACTATCACGCCTACTAGTTGTCCGCTAATTCTCCGGATGAAACTCGAGCTGAGAGTTTCTGTTTGCTAATTGCAAAGGCAAATATTCCACCGCAACAGCCATGCAGGCCAAGATACTCTGCCTCGAGGTACGGGAAGAAAAGCAAGCCTAGAGTTTTGGCTGATACACACCGCCGGTGTACACAGTTGCCAGTCTAGAAGGACCCGGAACATCGGCAACTATTTCCTCTCTCATAAACATTATTCAGATCAGTATGAAAGTTTTGATCAGAACATGCATGGCCTTTACAAAATTTGAATACCCGGTGTTAATCTAGTGAAATTAACCGTGTACGGTACTTGATACAAACGAATACGGAAAACATAAAGGAATTCTACATCATTATCATTTTCGTAACATCCAAGCGAATCAGAAGTAATTGATCATGATTTCATGTAGAAGTGAGATGATGGGTGTTGTTAGTTCACGTTTAAGCGCAACCAGCTTGAATTGTTTGTTGGGGCCAGATAGTTTTTTTTATTTATCCTTCAAGGTATATCATTTATTCAACTTTGCTGTCAAAGTTCTCACCCTCAACTAGATCTGGGATATCATCATCATCCTCATCATCTTTCTTGCCCTCCTCCTTCTTCTGCATGCTCTGGTAGCTTTCAGCAAGCTTGCGAAGGGAGGCAAGGGAGTCAGGCCCAAGCTGGTTCAGGATACCAGGAACCAATTCAGTGAGTTCCTTCTCTTCGCCGTTACCATAGATGGCAAAGGTGTTGCTGGGAACGGAAGCGTGAACTATTGTTGTGTTTCATCGGTGGTTAGCGTGTCTATAGGAGGATGCAAAAAATAGTTAGTGAATTTACCTTTGGGAGCAGCAAAGTGGATGACGTTGCCATCCTCCTTGAACATGTTGACCTCCTCAATCGCCTGGATTGGCTGGACGTTCATCTTCTTCAAAGCGGTCTGGAGCTTCTTGTCATCGGTTCCGGAGGACTTGTGGACCTTCTTCATCTTGCGGCGGGGAGTTCCCTTTCCACTGCACGTATCGTATATGTCGTCAGTCATACCAATTCATACTGTCGCTAGTTTCCAATCCGCTGATGTAGGCCAGAAAATAAATAAATAATATGTTCTCCTCGCCACTTCAAGTTCTAGCCGCGGAGGAAGTTTGATAGTGGGGGGGGGGGGGTGTCGAATAGGTCCGATAACTGAAAAATGAAGGAGTGAACATACCCTAGAAGCAATTGACAGTCATGTTAGCGAGGGAGCACCGAAATCTTGTATGTTAAACCATGATCCAAACAACGGGACAAAGGTATAGGCTTGCCAGCCTTCCAGCACGGACCAAAAAAACTCCAATGTTGGTACTTGGCACCAAGAAACAGCAAAGCAGCGGGCAAGGAAGAAGGATAAAAGGATCATACCAATTCGCACACTCTGCTGCATCTTCTGTAACTTTGCGAGATCCATGATGAATATTGTCTCCCGTCCCTTCTGTTTCCTATAGTCTATGTTCCTTTGAAATTTCCAAGGCCGGGAATTCCACCGAGGTATGCGGATGCGGAAAAGGCGTAAGCGAGACGATTGAAAACGTCTGGGAGAGATGGGCAGGTTGACAGGGTGAAAGATCTAGAGTAGAATAAAAGAATCGCAAAAGGACGAGGGACGTCCAGATTGATATTCAATAATTAGCTTCACTTGCACACATCCAATCAGGGTTATTTGTGGGGGGAACGGAAAAATCGGGGAGCTCGTTTTGCCTGCTGTTTGCAGTCCGCGAGGCGCCCCCTGGGTTGTCTCTTTGCGCACGTATTAGGGGACTCAGTATCGCGAGCAGCAACTTACCGTGTGGAATGGTAGATATCTGCGTCCTGCAGGCGTCTGGTCGAAACGTCGGCTACAAAAGTCAAGCTCGCTTTTGCCCTTTTCGATGGTTGAGCCATAAACGCCAAGCCAGGATTCGGTTGGTGGGTTTATCCGGGCGATTAGCCCTAACTTAGTTCCAAATACGGAAATCAGCTTTCTCTCTATATATAGTGTTTCTATCTGGGTGCTGCAGATGAAGATATATAGATATTTACACACATATGGTGTTATATGCAGCTGAAACCTAGTTGTCTGTGATATGCTGTTCCGACCACTCCCATAGACGCCGTGCGGTGTCCTTGTCGTGTACAAGCTCGTTCTTCCAGTCCGGGATCCCCACAGGGGAGTAGTACTCGCCATTGCGCAGTTGGCTCCTAGCACACCCGGCGGCCCATAGATGGTTCTTCGCCCCATCCTTCTCACTAGAAGCGAATGGAACAAGTAAAGCGAGGCCATATTTAAGTACAATACTGGATGCCCTCCCCTGTTCGTACAAGGCTGTCAGAATAACACCGGGATGAATCGAGACACTGGTAATTTCCGGGTACCGTCTTGCTAGTTCCGATGCGAGCAGGATATTTCCAGCCTTTGAAATCCCGTATCTAGTCCATCTGTTACTTGCCAGCAGGTCATCGGTAGAAGTCATGAGTGAAAGCAGCCTCGATGGCGAGGATGGTGCCATCTGCCAAGCTGCAGACGAGATGGACAGAACTCGGACATCAGAACCAGGCTGGGATGCTGTCTTCTGGAGCGTGGGTAGCAATAGTGACGTCAGGAGGAAATGGCCCAAGTAGTTTGTACCGAGCTGCACCTCATATCCGTCCTTGGTCCGGTAAGGGTCCAAGCCCATCACTCCGGCATTAAGGATGAGAGTATCAAGACGTTCACAATCTCCGGTAAATAACTTGGCTGCTTCCCGGATAGATTCAAACGACGACAGATCAAGGGGTAGGTATCGAATGTCCACTGTCTGTTCTAGCCGTGACTGGATATCCTCCATTGCTTTACGGGCCTTTTGCTCATTTCGAGCACCTATATATATCCTTGCAGGTTGGTGTTTCGCTAGCTCCAGGACCGTTTCTTTTCCAAGTCCTGTGTTTCCTACAACAGCATAAAGCATAAGCGGCCGTGTAACTGAAGAGCGGTAGTAACTTTCACTCACCTCCTGTAATCAAAATGACTCTACCAGACTGGTCTGTTATATCGCGGTCCGGCCGAAATGCCGATCCATAGGCCTGTTGTGCAAACTGATGGATGAGCAAGAAAACCAATCGAGCTGTCTCGAAAGGGCGAGCCAAAACAATCTTCGTCAAAGTCAGCAGGGCGACGAGCTCCTTGAGCGCATGACTGCTACCGTTCTTCGGCTGTGGCTGTCCTTGGGCTGCACTTGTCTTGTGGCCATGAGCGGTTGAACCGCCTGCCACCCCTGTGCGTCTTTGAGTGATTTCTGACATGTTTTAAAGATATTTTGCAAAATTGGTATCTTCCGTGTTAACAAAAATGGTAATGATATACGCCTTCTAGATGTACCTCTAAGAATACACATCCAACGTGGAAAACTGCATGATGTGTTGGAAAGCTGTTTGCTGGTCCAGGGTATCTTGTCTGGAGGTCGTTTGGACTTGAAGATCATCCGAGGTTGGTTTTTTGAACTACAGGCCCAAAAGGTAACTAACTAGTTACCTAACTAGTTAAGGTTTTGAGTGTTGCCCAATGTTAGCGTGAGGCAGCGATGACTAATAAACAAAAAGAATTAACTAGTTACATCTTGTCCCCTGTAGTTACCGCGAGCCAAATTATGAAGATGGCTGTGCTGGAGCAAACGGATGCATGATGATTACAATTGAGAGCTGAGTGTCACACAGATGTACCCAGGCACACAAGATACGTAATGGCCTTGCTTGCCACTCGCCATTCCTAGTTACGATTGAGATAGGTTACAAAAGGATCGGTCAAGGTGCGTCGAAGATAACAAATGAGATTGTCATATCTTTCATCAGTCTTTATATGTTTCTATGATACAGTTCATATCGCCTCTTGCCTTTCGCTCAGCAATTTTAACCCCGAAAACTTCTCGTCGGCGACCTCTATCGTCACCAGATGATGCAATGCTCTATCACGGGCCTTGTCGATGACTATCGACTTCACCTGCCATAGCTGACCTTGGCTATGTGCGATATATGCACGGCCTGTCTAGCTTTAGACTGATAGTGCAGATGGAAATGGGATGCTCGAGATGAATTGTAGTTCATGGTTCGCCTTAGCTTTTCCCGTGTGAAGAAGTCTATTGATTGGATGTCCAACCCTACCAGAGGGAGTATGGTCTCAATCAAAAGCGTAATGTGTGATCTTCACGAGTGTATGGAAGATCTACTTAAATGTTGTTTTTACCCGTTTTTCCACCCCTAGACCGCCGCTTCAACCGACGTGGGGGCCGCGCTGGGCAGGACGGCCACTGTGGCAACCCCTCTCGTGGCGCTTCATGTTACTGCGTACACTGAAGGCCTTGCCACAGCCTGGACGAGGGCAACGGAATGGCTTTTCGCCAGTGTGGCTGTGAGAGTGAATGCGGAGGCTGGAAGGTCGGGAAAAGGCCTTATTGCAGGTGCGGCAGATGTATCTGTCATGGTTGAGTGGGTAGGCTGCAGTGTTTGATGGAGGGAAATAGTGACGGTGTTGCCAGGTGGTAGTTCCAGTCATTTCTCCCATATTGATCATTTGATGATGGTGGTGCTGGGCGGCTTGCTGTGACTGTGGCTGTGCAGCTGGAACTGGCTTGAAACTTGGGACGCTGGCAGGATAGAACTCTGGCGAAGAGACTTTTTGCTCGGGGGAGGCAAAGCGAGCCACGTTTGAGTTGGCTGGTGATGGATAGCGAGCCTCACGAGTCTCTGAGAAGGAGGAGCGGTTGGAGTAAGTTGTTCTGGAAGTTGGACGCTCGATGGAAGCATCTGAAGCTGGGCTGGTAAGGGTAGAAGACCCAACCAGAGTTGGGGTGCTCGAAGCAGATGGTGAGCGTCGAGATTCCTCAAAGCTGGACTCTGGTCGCTGTGGAGGAGTTGGAGGAAGTATCATTCTATACTTTCTCTCCTCTTCCCAGTCATCAAACTTTGGTCGTTCTACATTTCTTATGTTAGTGACCATGGTTCTACGACACAGACATTAACAGATAGGCTACTTACTGGCTGACTGAGGAGGAGATACGCTTTCGATGTCCTGGAAGAGAGTTGAGATAGGTGGTAGTGAGTATCTCACAACGGACTCGGCCTCTGGAGAAGGCGGTAGCTCCATGACGGTTGCATATGGAGAAGGAGTTGCTTTGATATTTGAAGAGGTAGTAGTTCCCCACGGCCGCCGTGACTGTTGAGTAGAATATGAAGAGCGTCGAGGTGACGGAGGGGCATAGTTGGTGACTAGCTGTGCGAGATCCATGGCTGCCAGTAGAAGGGTATAGGAGAGAGTGTGTGAGAGCCTTGGTAGGTTGAAGTCCGGCTGGTTGCTATGTTTGTTGTATGTTTGGTGTATGTCCAAGTAGTAAGTGTAGATAACGGAAGGAAGGAAGAGTCCAGGGGGGTGCGGAGGAAGGTGTTATATATAAGAAGAGGAAGAGAGAAAGAGGATGGGCTAGAAGGAATAGAAGTAGTCTTTAAACCCAGGCGGCTGTAAAAAAAAAAACGTGTTCGGGGCGAAAAGGCATGGTGGGCAAGGGTGGGTGTTTAAACCAAGACTTTAAGGCTTAAAGGTTCCAGTACAAGGGATCAAGGACGAGCTGACCGAGAAAAAGGAATGATAGTCCTCGTTCTCTCTGCCTCTCTCTCTGCCTTCTCTTCGTCTCCTCCATGGGGTCAGGGATAAACTCGATAACACGCCGGCGGAAACCTTGTCATCGCCCCCGTATTGCAATTACTGGCTCGCCGGGGGTTTAAAATAAAGTGAAAAAAAGGAACAGCGTTTATTCTTAGCAATTTTGCAAACCCTTTTTTTGCATTCGTTTCTTTTCTGTTCTGTATTTTTTGCTTTTTTTTACGTCTCCAAGGGGAATCCATCCGCGGTACAAGTGCATTACGACGCAGGTTGATCAACCGGACGGACATGCACACTTCCTTATGGCCGGGGCTCCCTCGAGGGAGAAAGAAAAAGAAAAAAAAAGAGGGTCGAGGTGCTTGCCAGCGAGTGAGAGCTCAAACTAGTGATTTCAATCACATCCAGGCGATCTTCGACGGACGCCATCTTCTTTTCTTGTCTTCGCACCCGATGGGGGGAGGGAGGGATTCCAAGCAGGGTCCATCAGGTCGGAGCAGTATGGAGAACGACAGCTGTAACGTTCACAATATGGAAGATATCTCCGCAGTTCCATTTTGTATATAATGTACTGGGTACCTGTGTCATCAATGTCGTAGTGATATGTTGATGAATGAACAAAAGATGGGAATTTTACTGCCATCGTTGAAAGGGTCTTTGTCCACCTTTTTTCAGCCGAGAGTGTGATCTACACACGAGCACTCCGTACGGGCCCTCGGACTCTGCTTTTCTCGGTTCAAACGGATGATAGTCGCAAGTTGAGACAAACGTGTGAGTCTTGTCTTGTGCCGAAAAAGCCCATATTCAGCATCATGTTCTCTTTTTTGGCTCTCGGCAGCGTACATCCAAGGCATATTCACACAACCGATATCGGGAAAAAGATCATAACTTTCAAGATGATCAACCGTGTGTATGGGGAGAGTGAGATATAAAAAAAGAAAACAAAAAAGAAAAAAAAGTCATCGTCCAAAAACGAACAGTTGGTTGACGCTTCGACTTGTTGTCTTTGGTTTAGTGCTTGGGGAAACGCGGCATAATTCACCACTCAGCGGTCGCCAGAGACATCCTGATATGTGCCTCGAGGAATGGCGGCTGGTGGGAATATGATCCGTGCCATTCACAACGTTTCTTTCTTTTCATCATCTTTCTTTTTCCCCCTCTTCTCCTGTGGCACCTGTCCCTGTTTCGATGATGATTAGGATGTGTATAGTAAGTATGCCTAAATCTGTGGAGGTGTACTGACGTTTAAACGAGCATCAGCAAAGGCGACACAGGACATCCCGTACTCAGTCACATCACATCACATCGCATGGCCATCCCCCCATGGTCATACGATAAAGAGTACGGAGCAGTTGAACAAGTCAGTAGTAGCGGTGGTGGTACGGAGTACTGAGGAGCAGCAAGCGAGTCAGCCCAGCAGCATAGTGTTTTTTGAGTTCATCACAAGCGAAAGACACCACAGGAGCCACGTTAAACAGGTCGATGTGGCTGTCACTTTTGCTTGACCTTGTTTCCTCACCCTGCTTGCCTCCCCCGATCAGGATGCTGCAGGCGGGTTTGGCCTCGTGGGAAAAGTCTTGCTAGTCCTGTCCCGGTTTAAGGCTCTCTCGCATCTTCTTTTCTTGTCTTCTCATGCAAGGGAAAAAAAGAAACCACCCAACGGGCTACCAGATTTGGCCGAAAGCCAAATACGAGGCAAATGTAATTAAATTTGGGTTGCAGAAGTTGACTCTCCTCGAAAAGAAAAAAAAAAAAGGAAGAGGAGGAGGAGGAGGAGGGAGGGAGGGAGGGAGTGTACTCCGTCCACTCAGGTCGACATATATACGACAGATTCGTTCGTATGGGGAAGATACGCCCTTTTTTGTTTTTTGACTTTCTTTCTCTTCAAACGTCGAGCACAGATCGTTTGAAAAGAAGGTCTCAAGGAGGATGTATACATACTTAGATCGATCTGTACTTTACATGCTTTACCCGTTCCATGGAGAGTTCGATAGAGGGGGTTGGGGATATGTCCGGCCGGCTGCTGTGAGTGGTTGGCTTCTAGCGAACCACGATGACCTTCTTTTGCCTCGCCAGCTGCATCAGCCCATGTCATGCCATGCCCACGCCTTGTCCTTGATGCCTTCGTCAACCTGAGGAAGTGTGCATGGGTGAGTGAGCGTGGATTGGTGGGTTGATCTTCTGCTGGAGGATGCAGATCTACGCGATGGCCACACATCGGACGGCACGCACGAGGAAGCAAAGAAAAGAAAAGAAGTGTGTATGGAAAAGCCAAAAAGGCATGCCAGAGAATAAAGGCTTTTGGCTGTTTTTTCCTTTGTTTTCCCCTGTCCTCCTTGTCTTCACACAACTCTTTTTGATCCGTACTCAAGCAATAATAATGAGTTCTGAGCAAGCTAACTAGCTAAGCTAAGCTAACTACCCCGTGAGGCGTCCCGTTTTCTCGGACGGAACATTTTTGCCGCTCTTCTCGCTCTCGATTCCCATCTCTCTCGCCTATGTTCTAAATATATCTTGCGAGGGGATAGAACTAAAGTCTCAGGGGGTGGAGGAGACACAGACGAGCATTACTATTATTTGAGCCTTTCGCCTTTCTCGACCAAGGCAGATGGGTATCGAGCAGGTTAGTTAGCCGAGCATGACCAATAGACGGGCAGCTCTTGACAGTAATAACATGCCGTGATATAAGGGGGTCGGTCGGAGTGAGTGGGAGATGGAG